TGACATAAATAAATAATTAAGCAAATGTGTTTTTAGCAAATTATATTGGCTTAGTAGTGGCACCCAATTGGTAGCAATTTATATGAAAATCCTTATTAAAACATTTTCTTTTAGCTACTAGATGGCGTTAGAGGTAGGTTTTTAAACTTTTATGACTGTTACTTCTATTTACACAAACATGTGAAGTTTAAAATGCTCTTCATTGGAGATACTTTCGACAATACTGCAGAAGAAATTTAATATAAAATCCATTTATTAATTCTGAGTGTAAAATAATATGCAGGAAGTAAGTTTACAAGATAAAGTCAGTTTGGTCAATCATTAAATTTTAAGATTTGTATAAATTTATTAAATTTAATAAATTTTCAAAAAACCTTCCAGAAAGCCCTTCCAAATTAATAAAAAAAAAATAATAATTTCATGAAATTCAAATTAACGTAATGAAAATAGACAACATAATTGACTTCTCACATATCAATTTATCGATGTGTAAATTTACCAATAATTTATCACATTTTGTAAGCTATTAAAATTAAATCAATTACATTTCAACCTTGATATGTAACGTCGTTGAAGTGAAAAGAAATTTTATAGAAACAAATTCATTGCACATGTCAGTATGAATATTTATCATTTATCAATCATGTTGAAAAGTGTGAAAATATAAATTTACTTTGATATTTTCAACTCAAATGAATTTAACACATCATCTGTGATTTAATTTTATGTGATTGATTATTCTCTCTTACATTTTATTGGAATTATATAATAAATCTTGTAATAGATCTGTTTGAGATATTTAATAGCCGCATGTTACATCTTCATCAGTAATTTATTAAAGTTTAACTAGAAAAACCACTTAAATTCCAGTGAACAATCTGTCACTGCTAAAAGCATTTAAAATTACTCATCGATTCGAAATTCCCTAAAACAAACGGTTAAGTCTGCAAACTTACGACCAAAATTGTTTGCTTAAAGCAGTGTTTCTCAAGATTTGCCGCGCGAAACTTTAGTGTTCCAAAAAATTAGCAAAAACAAAATTAAACTGTTATAAAAAATTAAACATAATTTTACAAGGAAAAAAGTTTGAGAAACACTGCCTTAAATGATTCAGAATAGAGGCTTAAAAAATTTTCCATTATGATTTCATTAGTTCTCATCATCATGGAATAGTAATATGAGATGACGTTAAAACATTTCTTCAAAATATTTAAATTGAAACTCTTCAATGCTAATGGAAGCATCCGTTTTGTGATAGGTCAGTAAAGAATCATCTGAAAAGAAATTGTGAAATGAGTCACATGAATGATGAAATTTTATCCAATTAGTCATTAAACTTGATACTCCAAGCAGTTTTATCGCTAATCGTTTTGTTTAAAACAAACATTGCTATTAAAAAAATAAATTGTAATTTTGCTTCACTATTTATGAGTAAGTTGGTGCTGATTCAAGGAAGTTGTATTTTGTGAGGAGGTGTATTAGCAGAAACTAGGAATCCAGTCATTTAAATTGCTTCTCGATTAAAAGAGAATCGGCATTAAGTTTTCAATAAAAATATAAAAGGTACGCTTAATATTAAGTTGAAGTCCACAGGATATTCTGAAGTAAAGACAAAAGAGGGTTCTGAATTTGTGACGGCTGTTTAAAAGATTACAAATAAGATTAGATTATGCAACTCTCACTCTAAATCTATAAACTTTAATTTACATTTTCCACACATCACCGGAACGATCATCATAAACTAATGACGAAATTCTTCTTTTTTCTCTTAAACTTTCTTATTTCAGCGTCGTCTGCCTTTGTGTCTATTAATTCTTTACATTTGTGTATGATCATCAAATTTATTAATGTGGATATTTTCACCATATGAATCTGCTTTATTTTTATAAGGGTGATGAATTTTTGCAGTAAATTACTTTTTTATGTGCGTTTAACCATGCTACGGACATTTCAGTGTCGAATTTTTTCGACATGTTTGAATTTAGTCGACCTAGCGTTTGAATATGTTAAAACCGTTAAAAATCTGTCCATTTTAAGATTTTAAGCATTAATATTTAAATTCCTGTATTTTCCTGGGATGATTTTAGCTAAACTTAGATAAACACGAAGCTGAGAATAAGAATCGTTTGCCCAAGCCTTGTTTTTGCCAGTGTTTGCAAGAAATTTTCATGAAAATTTAACGGTTTTTTGACATTCAAAGCAAAAAATAACGGACTTTTCGACGTATCCGTAGCATGCGTTTAACATGATCTTTGTAACGAACTTTTCGTGTTTATACGCAGTTTGTGGACTGAGATTCTTTTTATGTTGCTTATTGGGAAATAAGATTTATTTTTTGAACATGTTTTGGAGACTATTTGAATTTTGAAATAATTTGCAATTTGTATTAAATGAAATTTTAAAGCAAACTTAGTACCAAACAGGAAGTAATAAGGCAACAAAACTGATCATTTTATAATCCTGCAGATGTTTACACTCTTTGTTCCAATTCAATAAAATTTTATACAGCATAATCATATTTCACTCTCACTTCCAAAACTACATTGAAGTTCACACAAAAATTCTCGTTTAAAATAAAAATCCAACAAAGTTATTTGACATTTCAACGAAAAAAATTAAAACTGTAAATATTTCCGACATTTGGCACGTTCTGTGGTTTCAATTTTGTTTTGTTTGCTTGACAATTGATTCTTTTATGGTTATATTGATGAATGAATGGAAGGCATGATGAACACATGCGTGATAGTTTGTGATAAAAATTCTTTTTTTTTTGTAGATAATGAAAATTTACTAGTTTGTTTGATTTGGAAGGGATTTGCTTTTAAACATTTCAAAACTTGCAAGAAATCGAAACAATTAAACACAATTTATTTGAAAAATCACCTTTCATCATGATATTCTTGAAGGTTCACGTCCTTTTCATTGTTTTAAAGTCCAACAATCTTCATTGGTTTTAAAAATCACACGAAAAGTGCATTAAGACACAACTATCAACCTTAACATTATTTTGATTAACTTTTTTCTTACTGCATTTTTTTATCATGTTGAATGTTGAGCATTTAATATTACTGATAGCAATAGTATCCCCATTAAGTCAGCGGGTGTGTCTCTAATGCTCTCTGATTAATTTTTCATAGCAATGACTTAGAAAATGTTCTTGTCTGGTAAATGACTTGACCTATTTCCTTTCATTTGAGCATGAATAGTTGTTAGAAATTCATAGAATTTCGAGAATCAAAGAGAATGCCTTAATGCTAAATTTATTGTCTTGTGACACGAACTATATTTATTGAATTAATAAAATCAGGATAATATTTATGTGGCACGTATTAATAATTTTATATCCTTTAATTCCTGAATATCTTACGTCTGAATCATAATGAATTTAGAGCTCATTGAAGAAATATTTAATATCAATCTACCCTTAAGCTTCTCCCTTTTTTCCAACTCTTATTAAATCGATATTTATATCAACTTAATTTATTAGTGAAAGTAAAATGCTCTTACTCTTTAAACAGATTGTCATTCCTATTGCATTCATCTCAGCAGGATATTTTGGCACTTATTCACAGTTGGAAGTTTTAAGTTATTAAATATTTACAAATAAGTGACAATGGTGAATTTATTATGGGTATTACTGACATGTTTTATTTATGTGACTTGTAAACTTATTTAGAAATCTCATTGTCTGGCAAACAGAAGTTCAAAATCGAAGACTAGCTTAGAATATAAATCATTTAATTAACAAACACATTGGATGACCCTTACCATCACAGTTCTCAAGTATCTATGACAGTTTTATAATAAATTAAATAAGATACGTTATCTTTAATAGAAAAATAAACATGAGCAGTCAAAAGTCCATTAAACAGTTTTCAAAAAAATGTGACTAATTTAGAAATAATAGTTTGAGTGACATTTTACTTTTTGCGATGAAACTACTACTTAAATTTATTTTTTTAAGCTCTTTAAATTGTAGACATATTGTTTTACATCCAATTCGAATTCTTCAGCATTGTTTATATAAAAATTCAGCATAAAGCAATGTAGGTTAAGGTCATGAATATTTAGAATTCATTTATTTATTAGTCTTTAAAATCTGCTTTTAGATATCAAATATCATGAGTCATTTATTAGTACATCCATTTTTACGCAATCTCGTTTATAAAGTTTGTTTGATGTTCTTAAATTATTTTTCATTGTTAAATAAATCAATCATATCTGTTTGAGCAGTTACTAAGGCTTAGAATTAGTTGTCGTTGTTATCTGATAAACATTTGTGCGTCTATCTCTTTCATGTTTAAGTTTGTAAGTGGCATTACATGAGTGCTCTTTGTTGTAAGCAATTTATCGAACATATCGCAAAATAGTATCGCATTTCACCCTAAATAATATTGAAACTTCCTCAATAAATGTTGAAAAAAGTAAAAATTAAGCCATTTATCATTCAAAGTTTTATTAGAACTCAAATAAGGAAAAAAAAATGATTTGGTTTTGGGGATCGATAAAATGTTGTTGTTTTGACATTGGTACCTAGAGTTTTTGTAATTAAGTAGCAAACATAGCCCAGTTTGCAATATTGCATTGGTGTCTCCTATTTCCTGCAATTTAAAAATATCCTTTTGACCCCAATTTGTACCCTGAGTAAAAACTTAAAAATTGTAGCAAATAAACAAAATTTGTTTAAACTAATGATTTTATAAATGAACATGACATACACAAGAATTTTGTGCAAATCAATTGAGGCTTCAAAGCCAAACTTATTTTCAAGCTTCATGAAACTTTAATTAACTTTTGTTTGAAAACGATTATCACATTAAATTATTTATTAAATACTTTAATGAGCTAAAATTATTTTTGTTGGTCGGTATTCTTACAAGCACTAGAAAATTAAATACATTTAACGATTAAATGCAATAATGCACGATTTCTTAATTAATTGACAAAAATCTATTTATTTGCGAATGGGTCTTCATTCTTAAAAAAATTCTAATTTGCAATTAAAGGACGTACATTGCATAACAAGCAATATTGCAATTGTTTCCTTTATTTCTCGACATATAAGCATATCCTTCTTGTCCCCAGGTGGTACCCTGTCGGATTAAATAAAAAACGTAAATGAAAAAATAAAATTGATAATTTTTAAATGCAATATGTTACCCAAGAATTCCTAACAATCCAGTAGTCTGTATTTGTTGCTTGATCAGTTCCATAACCAACAATAATGACAGCATGATTAACACTTGAACAATTACTGCTACAAGTTGAATCATAGAATATTCCACTTTTGTATAATTGAAAATAAGACGTGACTGAAATCACAGCAGCTACGGGTCCAACACTTCCAACAATTTCTTTCATCATGTCTTCATTTCCAGCTGTGTTATTTTGGATAGTTTTATTTATGTTCATTGGTATTTTAGGGACATTAGCTCTACACTTTGTTCTGAATCCATAATATTGATAACTAGTTGTTGCAGGAACTCCACCTTGAGCTAGTTTAGCAATCCAATCTTCAAAGGAGAATGATTATTCTGTGCAAAAAAGTCTCAAGATATCTATACACTTACTAATTGCATTATGCGGCCAACCTCCGTTACATCCATGATCACGAGTATCACAATCAACTAGAAACTGCTCAGACAGTACAGTATTGTACGAAGAATTCGAAATCATCATTCTACTTTCTATGAAACTGCTCTTTAGTTGCTTATCTATTGCTTGAAAACTTTGACACTCACCTAAAACTCCTAGAACAACAAAAGCCCAGCATGATCCACAATTCTTTTGATTTTTAACTGGCATTGAATAATTTCTATAATCAACTGCAGCAGGTGCTGTGACAGAAGAATAGTCTTCTGTTACACTTCTGCCCTGTATACCTGAATTTTGATTTTCAACTCTATTTCCTCGTTCAGATGGATCAGTTGGAAGAACTAAGCCAAGAAAATTTTCTTGAAATGTTTTAAAAGTTTTATCGGCATATTCATTCAGTCCTAGCTTAAAAGCAAGACCAGGCATAGCGTTTATAAATGTAACAATTCCAAGATTAATATTGAAAGCTTGTTCAGCGATTCTCAACTCAATTTCATTCTTATAAACTTTTCCAAATTGATTTTTAAAATCATCAAACTTCAATCCGAAAGTTAAATCAAAACTTATTGCTGAAACAACAAAGAAAAATGCAAAAAACACAATAATAACTTTCATTTTATGTACACTGCTAGAGAAGTTAATTTAAACTGTCATATTCCTAATCTTTGCTTTGTTTATTTATAGATAACCGAACAGTTTAATGACTGTCACGATTTATATTTCAAAGGACATATTTTCATACGTGATTCTCGCTTGAAATCTTGATTAATATTCAGGTATTCCGAAAGAAGGGTTTTGGAAATCGTTTTTACTTTATTACCAGGGATTTTTATATGCAAAATTTTTACAAGAATTTAGACTTTAAAGAGCGTACATTGCATAGCATGCAATATTACAGTTGTTTCCTCGATTTCTAGACATAAAACCGTACCCGCTTTGACCCCAAGACGTTCCCTAGAATAAAAAAAAAATTATCAAAGTTTTAAAAATCACAAATCAAATTTTCAAATATACTCAAGAGTTTTTAACAATCCAATAATCTAAATTTGTGACTGGATCAGTTCCATATCCAACAATAATGACGGCATGATTAACACTTCCACAATTGCTATTGCATGTTGCGTCATAAAATATTCCAGTTTTGTATAATTGAAAAAAAGACGTAACTGAAACTACAACAGCCACAGGACCAACATTTGCTACAATTTGCTTCATAGTTCCTTCATTGCCTGCTGTATAATTTTGAATTGTTGCAATTATGTTCATTGGAATTTTTGTTACTGTTCTACATTTTGTTTTAAAACCAAAATATTGATAGCTCGTCATTGCAGGAACTGAATTTCCACCTGATTGAAATATCCAGTCTAAAATTATACAAAATCATTAAAAATTGTTTGCTTTATTTATTCTAAAATTTTACTTAATGCATTCATTGGCCAACCACCTAGAAATAAAATAATGAGTTAAAAAATCAATCAAAAGCTTTGGGTCAAAATAACTTTACCATTGCATGCATAGTCACGAGTGTCACAATCTAATAAATATTGCTCGGATAAAACAGTATTGTAGAGAGGATTTAGAATCGTCATTCTACTTTCTGCAAGAACAAAAATATTGAAATTTAGCTTTTACTTAAAATTTAATTTATTCCACCTAAAACTCCCAATGCAGTAAAAGCCCAACACGATCCACAATTTTTCTGATTTAATATCGCTAATGAATAGTTTCTATAGTCAACAGCTGGGGGCGCAGTAACTGGTGTGTAATTTCCAATTCCACCTTCTGCTTGTATTAGTTGTATGTTTGAGTTTGAATTGCTCGAAAATGTCACTTTGTTTCCACGATCCGAGGAACTACTTGGAGATTTTGCACCTAAAGATTCTTCTTTAAATTTATCAAAACCTTTATCAGCAAATTCATTTAATCCTAATTTATATCTTTGTCCTGATCTTGAATTTATTATAGCAATAAATGCACAATTCATGTCATAAGACTGTTTAGCATCTTCAATCTCGTAATCATCCTCATAACTTTTTTCGTATTCTTTTTCGAAATCACTAAATGTGTCAGCATTCACAAAATTAATCAATGTTCCTAGCACAACGAAAACTGTTTTCATATTTTTGCACTTATCAAAGACTGATCGCAGACTAAAGTATTTACGAACTAGGCTTGTATTTACATAGTCTTTAAAATCAATATTGTAGTGAAATTTTTCGAAAAATATCGATTGCTATTCAAATAATGTGATTTTTTAACATTCTGGTTTTATACTCATAACGTGATTGAAAATTTATAAGTTTTAAGCACGAGTTTTTCGTTAAAAAATAATATTTTATTTTTGAAACTGCTAAGTTTAGTCAATATCAAGTATTAAGAGAAATTGTAAATTTATAATTTTCCTTTTGCCAAAAGTTTAACAATCTTAAATAATTTTGAATAAAGCATCAAACTGCATATGTAGCATAGCACGCAATATTGCAATTATTTCCTTGATTCCTTGCCATAAAGATGTAACCAGCTTGTCCCCAAGAAGTACCCTAATGACGTAAAATATTTATTGAATATATCAATTGAGGAATGAATTCGTTACCCATGAGTTTTTAACAATCCAATAGTCCATGTTTGTTGTGACATTTCTCCCGTATCCAACAATTACAATTGCATGATTAACAGTAGCACAATTGCTGTTGCATGTTGTGTCATAAAAGATCCCACTTTTATACAATTGGAAATAAGATGTGACTGAAATTACTGATGTTAATGGACCATAGTTAGAAACAAGTTCCTTCATCATATTTTCATTCCCTCCAGTGAAATTCTGAACTGTAGCAACAATTCCCATATGTATCTTAGGAGTAACTCTACATCTAAGTTTAAAACCATAATATTGATAATCTGTCCATGCTGGAACTGCATTTCCACCTCCTTGAACTATCCAGTCTAAAAAATTTTACTTAATTTTTGAAACCTGATTAAATTATCGAAACAAATATACTTAATGCATTTATAGGCCAACCACCGCCACATGCATAATCACGTGTATCACAATCAACTAGATATTGTGGCGAAAGTTTTGTGTTGTAGGAATTATTTAACCTTTTTAAACGGCTTTCTGTAAATTTAAATAGTTTTTAATAACATCTAAGGAATAATAATTCGTTTAAAAATACCCAAAGTGTCAAGAACAGAAAATGCCCAGCATGATCCACAATTTAATTGATGTTTGACTGCTAATGTATAATTCGAATAATCCACAGAATCAGCAACAGTAGTTGATGATGAATCTGTTGTTGGCATAATACTCATTAATGGAGAATGCATTGTTTCGCTATATGTTGTAGAACTAATGCGATCAGCAGTTTTTGGAACGACTAATCCAAGATGTCTATTTTGAAATTGGCCGAATGTTAAATCAGAAAATTCATTCAGTCCTAACAAAAAGCTGTTCTTTAGTCTCGAATTAATTATTGTAATGAAAGCGTTGTTCATGTCAAAAATTTGTCGCGAGTTGCCACTTGCAGTTTCAACAGTTTTGAATGTCAACTGCCATGTATTAAAGGAAACTTTCGAGTGAACTAAAGATGTCAAAATAAAAATATAGAAAAGCTTTAAGAATTTCATTTTAAAAACTTCTCTTTAAAATTATATATTAAACTGAATCCAAAAATCAATACTTTACTTCGATTTATATCCTTTTTTAAAAATTTATTACAATTTTATTTTACTTTTTTATAATCTCATGAAGAAATAAAAATTAATGTTGGCTTCACGACTTAAAGTTGAAAATTCAAAAAACTATTCTTCGAGAATAGTTTTACTCGTGTACTTAATTTTGCCACTATACAATTTATTTAAATAATATGGCTTAAACAGCATACATAGCATAGCATGCAATATTGCAATTATTTCCTCTATTTCTTGACATATAAATATATCCAAGCTGACCCCATGTAGTACCCTGTTGGATTAAAAGATAAAGCTCATTCTAATTACTGACTTTAGTACTAATAAAGGTATTGAGCACACTTACCCATGTATTTTTAACAATCCAATAATCCAAATTTGTCGTTGCATTTCTCCCATAACCTACAATCACTACAGCATGATTAACATATCCACAATTACTATTGCATGTGGTGTCATAAAATATTCCACTTTTGTAAAGCTGAAAAACAGATGTGACTGAAATGACAGCAGCTACTGGTCCTACGTTAGCTACGATTTCTTTCATCATATTTTCATTTCCTGCTGTATAATTTTGCACAACTGCTTTGATGTTCACTGGTATTTTAGCAAGATTTGTCCTGCATTTAGTTTTAAAACCATAATATTGATAATTAGCCATTGCAGGTGCAGCATTTCCACCTGATTTTAGAATCCAATCTGAAAATTTATTTTTCAATTAAAAGATTTGAACAAGAAGTTTGTGATTTTTATACTTAATGCATTGATTGGCCATCCACCTAAGATAAAAATGATATTAAATTAATTCAATCTTTAAATATTAAATTTTAAAACTTGCCACTACATCCATAATCACGAGTATCACAATCCACTAAATATTGCGGAGATAGAAGCGTTTTGTGTGATGAATTGGACAACATCATTTTACTTTCTAAAAATGTCACACATTTTGCATTTTTTCGCACAAAGAAACTTATGTCCACATACCTAATATTGAAAGTGCTGTAAAAGCCCAGCAACTCCCACAATTCTTTTGATTTTGAACAGCTAGTGAAGAGTTTCTATAATCGATAGATGCTGGAATTGTTTTTGAGACTGGAATAATGTCAATAGGTTCAATAAATCTAGCAAAAAGACCTGAATTTGAATAAACAATTTGACTGATACGATTGGACTGGCTTGGGACCATTATTCCTAGATACTTCGTTTGAAACTGACTAAATGTTAAGCTTGAAAATTCATTTAAACCTAATTGAAAGCTTTGTCCAAATTTTGAATTGAATGCATTAATAAAGGCGCAATTCATGTCGAACACTTGTTGATCCAAAAATAGAGAATATGTGTTCACAATTCCACTTAAAGCTTGTTTCCATTTGTTGAATGTAATTTGAGGATTAACACAATTCACGAACATTAAAATTACTATCACTTTCATTTTATTTTAAATGATACAGCAGTCAAAAATCAGTTGAAAACTAAATCAGGATATTATTTATCTCAAGCTTTATAAAGATATCCGAGTTTTTAAAAATTTTGATGATCGTCAACGGGGTTTTTTTTTAAAAACAATACTATAATGCTTGAAACAAAACACGCGAGGGTTGTTTTTTGCACGATTTTCTCATAAATGAAACTTAAAAGTTATTTTGAAGGATTTGTTTTTATTTAACAAAAAATACAAAATTTTAAAAATAAATATATTAATTTTTTATGAATACTTTTTTAAATATTAAAGCTTAACAAACACGTTTATAAAGTTTTTAAAGTGTATACATCGCCCAGCATGCTATATTGCATTGATTGCCTTTATTCCGTGCTATATACCCATAGCCACCTTCACCCCATGATGTACCCTATAAAAAAAAAAACAAAAATAATAATTAAATGAGATTTTTAATATTTTAGCAAAATACCCATGAATTTTTAATAATCCAATAATCTGTGTTTGTAGTTGAGTCTGTTCCATATCCAACAATTACAATAGCATGATTAGCAACCACACATCTATTATCACAAGTTTGATCATAAAATATTCCGCTAGAATAAAGCTGAAAATAAAAAGTTGCATGAAAAGCCACAACAATAGGTCCAGCATTTGCAACAATTTCTTTCATCATATTTTCATTTCCTGCTGTATAATCTTGGACGGTAGCTTTGATATTCATAGCTATTTTCGGTGTGCTTCGACATCTCATTTTATATCCAAAATAAGGATAATTAATTGTTGATGGTACTGCATTCCCTCCATTTCTTGCAATCCAATCTAAAATTCTACATTTTTAACATCATTTTTTTATATTTATAAATTAAAACTTACTAAATGCACTTGTTGGCCATCCACCTTAAAAAAATTTAAAAGTCACATTAAGCCACAATATTCATTTAACAAAGCTCTTTATTATTAACTACCAATACATCCATAGTTGAACGTATCACAATCCACTACATACTGTGCTGACAATAATGTATTAAACTTTGGATTCTTCATCTTCAATTTTATCTCTGAAATTTTAGTTTTATTAATCACATTTATTGCTGTCAGAGCCACACCACGTCTAAAGTCATGACTTTTCCAGGATACCTAAAAGTCTGTGTGACGTTTTTCCGTTAATTTAGTGACGTGGCATTGTCTTGACAGCAACCTTGTGTCACTTAAGAAAACAAACCTAAAGCTTCCACTACACTAAAAGCCCAACACGAATTGCATATTTTTTGATTTTGCACAGGCAATGAATAATTTCGGTAATCCACAGAACCAGGTACATCCGCACGCGCTCTAAGAGTAACCAAATGCTCTTCATCTGAAAAATTGATTATTTGATCACCTCGTTCCAAAGTGTTTGGAAGAACTAATCCATTGTGTGTTTTTTGAAATTGTTGAAACGGTAAATCAGCTAATCCATTCAGTCCTAATTCATATCCAAATTTAAATCTTAATTTGTTAACAGTCACAAATGATACACTAACATCGAAAGTTTGCCTTGACCTATTAAATTCTTTATCATTAGGTAAATAGCTTATATTGTACTTTGTTTGCCATCTTTTAAAATTAAGTTGAGAATTAACAAAAATCCAAAAAACACTGAATAAGACAATCAATTGTAAGTTCATATTCGATACTTCAAAATGTAATCACTAAGTGATTTCCAAAAGTTTTTACAATTTCTTATATATGTAACTTTGAGTACTAAAATTTTCGTTCAATAGACTTGTTTTCAATGTATAGGACACAATAGATTTTATTTGATATTTTTTAATGAGAATATTAAAATTTTAGTAATTAAAACTTAAAAGTATTTCATTATTCGGTGACAAAATAGTCATGAAGAAGTATTCAACAGAACAGAAGCATTTTAAAAGACGTTGACAATTATAGTATTCAAAGATTCAATAATTGGCGCCATCGAAAAGTCATTTTGAATGACTAAAGATCAAATATTCTTTTTGTTGAACATACCCAAAAGTTCTTTAGCAACCAGTAATCATTCTTTGTTTTGTAGTCTAATCCATATCCGAAAATGATCACTGACATGTCGACATTTGGAATCACATTTTGCATCCGAATAGATTCCATTTTTGTCTATTATTAGCAGCCATTTGTTTCATTAGATGCTCATTTTCGTTAGGGGCCGTTCACTTATGACGTCCAGGGGGGGAGGGGGGGGGGGGGGGGTCAGCAAGAAAAGAACAATAGAAATTCCTGGAAATCCATTGTTCTATTTTGAAAAATGAAAAATGATTTTAATTTTGGACGTCATAAATGAATGATCCCATAGTATAATTTTGAAGACAAGGACTGATATTTAATGGAACTGCTGAAGTTTTCCTGCATTTTTGTTATGATCCAAAATGGCGATAATTTTTCATAGCAGGAGCTGATTTTAGTCCTGTTTTTGCAACAAATTCTGCAGTTTGCAAACGCACGTCTTTTGATTCTAGTTTTTGCTTTACTTAGTAAATAATGCACATTACTGCTAAGATTTTCATCACTTTATATTTTTGCTGGGTTTGTTCTATAAATTTTACTTTAAAAATTCAGTTCCTTAAAATTTTCCCTCATATTTATATGAATTCAAGAAGCTATTAATATTTACGATCTTATTTGAACAATTGTTCATTTTACAGCTTAGTATGATAGATGGAACAAGTAAAAAAATTATGAATTAATGTCTAAAATGCAATCACATCTAAAAAGGTGTAGTTTGTAAATTTAAAAATTAGATAAAAAAATGATCTTAATTTGAAATAAATCAAAGCTGAACCTTAAACCAGATGCTTGTCAAAGTTTATTAATGCATGTCTTGAAAAATCATATCCACTTAATTTAATAAAGTAAGTACTTGTACAAACTGCTCAAAAGCTCATAAATATCGAGAAAATGCGACACGATTTTGCGACGAACACAACAACAATGAATCCAATATCGTGAGCTTTCCTCAATATTTTTTGAGAATATCTTAATTAGTTTATGAAACGTATTAACCTCGTAAATGGTTGTAAAACTTTGTCTTTGAAATGTCATCAAAAGAGTAGTTCGGATTCAATTATAAATTGTAGGTCTTGGTTTGAGGGCAGTGGTTTGGTGCATCCTCACTCGTTAAGCTCTCATTAGATGCGAAACTCCCAAGCGCCCCTCTGCATCAAAATTGATCTGAATAGGTAAAGGTTTTTTTTGACACAAAAAGAATATGAATAATCCAGAATGATTCATCAAAAAAGGAAATCACTTAATTAATGATTTCATAAACTTATTCAAAGAAAGAATGACAACTCACTTCATGGGTTTTAAATCTATTTATTTCCTTGTTCGATTCACTATCGATTGTGTCAGGCATACCAACTTAAATGTATAACAGTCGATTGTTTCGGTACTTTCATGGTTCATTTAAAAAGACATTGCTCATTATTTCTTCACAATGAAAGTAACACAATGAAGATCACTTGACATATGAATGTGATATTTTTCCTTGTTATTTTCTTTTCACACCAGCAACAGTGGCAACTAAACTTTAGCCATAGAAAGAACACACAAAAAAACTGAAAGTTGAACTATGGAGTGCATTCACACTTCTCTTCTTTATTTTTTCTTCTCATCTCAACCATCGTTGCATCTCGAGAATTTCTTAAATAAATTTCAAGACTTTATGCTGCTAGCTGCTGTATTTACAGTATGCATCTTTAATGCATTTACTTAAAAGTTAAGGAAAATATACGGTAGTAATTGAATGAGTGTGAGAAATTTTAAGGTGCTTGAGACTGCGGTGCATTTTTAACAAAGCTATGTAACTTCCACAAATGCCTTTAATCACCGAGTGTTAAGCGGACGTAAAGACATATTCAAAAATGTTTCACATTAAGAAGCTAATGAATATGCAATTGAATCTAAGGCATGCATGCCCAAATGTACGACATGCAATGTTTTTCTTCTGTATTTAAAAAACAAATAAACAAACAATTTGGGAGTCATTAGATGCTTGCTGACTTAAGAAAACACTTGCTGTTACTTCATGATCTCGTGTGCATTAATAGGAAGAATAATTTAGACATTATGTGTGAAATGAATCTCATATGAAGATGCACGTTGTGATCAAATATTTAATCAACCTCCACAGTTTCAATTCGTTTGACTTTTCATTTATTTTCTTAGAATTTTTGGTTGCATGAACAAAACAAAATAAAATTATCAAGAAAAATAAATTGGGATTGGATTCAGGAAATGTTTGATTATTTGTTCAATTTCTGAATGCATTTTTTGTAAGTTAAATGTTCATAATTTGGGACGTCAATTTAGAAAATTGTTTTAAAGCAATTTAAATTTAAAATAATAAAGTAATTGAAGAAATAATCAGTATCTATCCTGCATCAGAATTAGAATCCAATGAGATAAATTAATTGATTTATTTCATTATCTTTATTCCTCGTTTGCACGCATATACTCTTCAATTAGGGCCTCATTTAAATGACGACTAGGGGCATTTAAATTTTCCACATAATTTAACACACATCGTATTTTATCTTTCTCTTATTCTTTGTAAATGTTACATCACGTAACGATTTATGTTGATGCAAAGAACAAAGTATGTTATTCCTTGAAGCTACAAGAATTGATTTTAAAGATATTTTTCAAACCGAAATTTCTCAATTTTTTTTTTAAATAATTGATTCTAATTAAAAGAACTGCTTGATGCGTGTGTTTCAAGCATGAATGCATTTATGGGGAAGTAACAAGCTGTGTGCTTAATTTTCATATCAATTATGATGTTGAATTGTTTATTTAGGGTTCATTTCAGTTGATTAATTCTAAATTGTTTATTTTTTGACAGTCTTCAATTTTTCTTTTTCGAGGAATCTGAATTTTAAAAGAGATTTTTGGAAGTCTTTTCGTAGTTTATTAGCTAATCATTCACAAATGAAAGGGAATTCAGGAAATATGAGATTGATCAGTTTGATGCCACTATTTTATCATGTTTAATAATTAAAAAGAATGTTTCCAAAAATCAAAGTTTTGTTTGAGATCATCACTTTTAAAGCTAGAAATGTAGAAGCCGTCTAGTCACAATGTGATAAACATATATATTTGCAGTTGCTCTGTAAGCCATACTTATCCGTAGACATCTAATTTGCATTCAAGATGTCACATGACATCTAACTCAAATCACATTCTGTAATTTTCCGTATAATTAATTCATATAAATTGCAAGTCACATTCCATGTAAGACTTTGACTTAACATGGTATCTTAAGTAGAGATTTAGGTCAATTTGTTGTATTTATCTAACAATCAGTCATTAAATTTATTAATTTCTTTTTCTTAGAAATAAATTTTTGCAACATTGCATCGGAATATTAAAATAAGCAAAAGAAATTCAGAGAAATACAAAATTGCAATTTTATTGGCATTAAAGCATTGAATCAAAACATTCTCTCAATTGTTTAAAATCCTCTCCTAATGTTTTATGAAACTGATCAATCAACAATAGCGCAACATGCAAAAAAAATGTCTCATGCATGTCACACATTGCATCATCATCATCACATGTTCTTTCATCCCACATCCAGAATATTGTCTGCATATCACGTTTTAGTCATAGAACAGAGCAAACTACAGAAAAAAAAGAAAGAAAAATGCTCACAACTTTGCGGCATGTGAGAGAGACACACAGAGACGAAAAAAAAAATGAGAGCAACATTTGCCGGCTGCTTAAATACACATTCTATATTGTATTTTCTGAGCTCAATTAATTCAGTCTCGTCGTGTACTCAAACGGAGTTGGTTTGGCGAAAGAAACAGTTTTCATGTCCGCTCGCGTGTGTTATTTTCACTGTGAAAATTAAATTTCTATTATTTTTTTTTTTGAAAAAAGTGTGAACCAAAAATTCTATTTTAAATTTTTCTGCAAGTTTTTCTTCATTTCGAATTGAGAAAAAAAAATTTAATTAAAAAGAAAGAAAGTGAGAAGAAAATTATTGTTTGTAAGTTTTTTGAAAGAAGAAGTGAATTTTATACAAAAAGTGAGTGTTTGTTCTTCATTATTATGGGGAAGAAAAAGAAGAAAATTGATAAAAGAAATAACAGTGAAGAGAATTAAAATAAGTAAATTGGATAATTTAATTGGTGTAAATATGTAATGCAAATTTTTTGAGGAGAAATTGTGTTGATTAATTTAATTGGAATATGAGGAAAGTTACTTCAAAAATTGGAAAATTTATTAGCAGTAAGAAATGTTATATGAGGAATGCGAAGGTGTTAGTGATCAACCCTATCAACTTCTTTCTGGTCACGACTATGTCACCAAACATATTGCAAAAAAAAAATCAATAATATATCAGAATAACATAAAGTTTGTCACAGTTTTCAGTCTTATTCAAGCTACCGATAAGTCATTCTAGCCTTAACACATAGACATGTCAAAAAGTTCTTAAATCCATCCCATGGAGGTGAAAATTTTACGATCTAAAACAAAACATATTAAAACAAAAATAATTTACAAGCCCTTATGAAGCGACTAAAAGTAAAACACACCAAAAGACAATAAAAACCGTAAAGATCAAGTTACAAAACCAAAAACTAACAAATTTGTGATACGATACTACCAATTTTTTTGTGTGTGGAATTGAAAAGTTCATTGTCTTTTTTATATGGCCAATGAAAATAGATTTTCGTCGTTGACAGTTGACGGCATATTGGAAAAATCATGCTGATATGCACAAAATAAAATATCACTGGAATTCTTATATTTCACGTTAAATTGAAATATGACCGAATTTTTTGAGACTTAGTAAAATATGCTTCTGTGCTGTTTATTACTGGCGCGAGTAAAACTAAGTCGTGGACGCTTTATGAAATTTTTTAGAAATATGATTAATCCTTCATCCTTGAACATTCACAGAGCGTCGCAGCCCAGTATTTTAACATGACAAAAAATATTTCTTCCAACATGTTGCGAATAAAAAATTGACTCTGGCATGTCGATGTTCATACCAACAACAAAAAAATAATGATTTGTGTGGAAGTTGAAATATTGTTTCATTAATTTTTTAGTTGAACTCTTACTTATATTTCTTTTCTGTTTTTATCTTTGCTGATATTTCTATTATGATCTGTTAAAAATTACCAAACATATGTTTTGACAAGAAAGTGATAAAAATAAAATTTCTGAGGGTGCTAGTTCAATGATGTAGTCAGAGGGGTCCAATCCCTCAAATTTCTCTTCATAATGTAATTAATATCAGAACTTCAAAAGATCGAAAATTCACACTTATTTATTCATTATTGCGAAATTATGCTAATAATTTTTATTATAATCTCATTTACTCAATAAAATGACAAAAATTCAATGCGTGATTGTCAATAACAAAAATTGAAAATACATGAGAATTAAATATGAAAATTCAAAGTCAAGGTCAACAAAATTTTTGTTTTTAATAGCGATAAAAAGAATCTATTTCCATAATTGGGTGGAATTTTTATGACTTATTAATTATAAATTTACATAATTTTTAGGACGTAATTCTTGAAAATTCTTTTTTATTCCTCTAACCTCTTAAAACTTTAAATTAACTTCAGCTATAAAGTTCTCTAGTTTCATTTGTTATGACTTCAGACAGTTTTATATGAATGAATGAAAATACTTTGGCAAAATTGTATCTAAATTTATTTGCGAAATCAACAGCAGGCAGTCTAAAGACTCTTCTAATTACAATCTGTAGAGGGATCATTAATATATTAGACTGTAAATTTTAAGGCCTCATGCCTAGTTTAATGAGTAGCTTAAAATTTGATACGACTTTCTGTCAGTAGCACCATTATGATTGTAGATAATGATCAGAGTAGCTACTTAATTTTGATTTTTGATGGACAAGATATTGATAAATTAAGTTTAATTCTGATTGATTGAGTAAAACAAACTTATTTTATTCACTGCGGTCCTATTTGGCAAATTAAAATATTTTCAATGTCAATGATCGCGGAATTTTTTACTAAAATTAGAAATCTAGTTTACAAAAAAAAGAACAAGATTCTCAGAGAATTTGAAATTCTATTCAATTCATTATCATACTAGAGCTATTCAACATTAGAACTCTATAAAATTTTATTCTTTAGAAATTCATTAATTCACTCATGTGAATAACATTAAAAGAATAAAAATAATCAATGGAGATATTAGCACATTTTAGGGTCATTTGCTAATGACGTCTAAAGCTTTTGATATGATATAAATCTTGAGTAAGATGGTCTAAAAATTCATTTTTAAGTGACATCATTTTCAAACCACTCCTAACTTAATAAGCTCCTTTCAATTTCTAATCTGCTACTTTATCATGATAATAGAAACGGAAGGCAAAAAAGAAGACAAGTGAATATGAATTATTGCATTCATAGTCAGGCAAAAAAATGAAATTCATTCTTGCAAGCTTCCGGTAATTATGTTTCCATATGGCTTAATGTGTCTAACAGTCGTTAGTAAATAGAACTATCGATTTTTAATTTAAATGGATAAAAATATAATAAAAATTGTGTCATTCAGTAGGAGTTGAGCTATCGCTATAAAAAAAGTTGGTGACCATTTAAATTTATGTGAAAATCAATAAATTTTATGAGCAAACAGAACTTTTAAATAGCTTCAATTGCGTAACAACTTTTAGATTTCGATGATATATAAAAATAAAGAGAGAAATTGGAGCGATGATCGAATAAGTGTGAATCATTTTGATATCTGTAAATTTATTTGGCTCGTGTACGTGATTAATGATTTTGCGAATGAAAGCTGTATGACATATGCTCAAGGATTCGCAAATAAATATTCTAATTTCTACACATTTCTTATCAAATTATTGCCCTGCCGGTCTACATCAAATTATTCTAACCAAATTAAGTTCCAAATATATATTCACTCCGACCTTCATTTCTAATTAAAGATTTTCATCAGTTTTCATAGATTCTAAAAATAATCAAACTGATCATGTAATTAAAATCGATCTATATCGCACGACTTTTGATATTTTTTCACAGCTGATAGGAACTTGACGAATTATCTTTAAAGAAATCAAATCTACGCACAATTTTCACGCATCGTAGCGAAATAATCATATTATTTTTCACACTTAAAATAAAACATTTATGTGTGGTTTTTCGTTATCGTCATTAAATCATATACTTGACACGTTTTGTGCTTTGTTTCTACTTGTACATAGGAAATTTTTACGCTATAAGAAGAAATAACATCACATGGCGCCAGGTTTTCTATACAATCAATAAAAATAGTCTTAGTGAATGTCTGTGTGCATGTAAAGTCAAAATAAATAAGAAAGAAAAATTGCAATATTCATGCTGAACTCTATTAGGAATCTGATTTAATTTACAAAGTCTTTCCCCGCAATAAAATGCTAAATTTATTCATCAGCGGTGTGTTTTTGTTTACGATTATGATAACGTGCTAGTGTTTTATAAAAATAAATGAAAATGAGCAGAAAAAAAAACAGTTTTTATGATTTTATTTCGCATGAAAATTTTTTGCGCGGCATTGGCGATGACCTTGAAGATTTGTGCTAAAAATGAAATAGAATGATTTATTGGATGTGAAAACTTGAACATGGTGGAATTATGTTCCCAGACCTGTTGCTGGCTTTAGAATTCATTTTGCTTAATAGCTTTCTCAATTAATATAAGTTGTGTGCTATCAAGTAGATAACAAATCAAAATGACTCAGTTGTATGCCAGAATTATTATGTAATATCCGTACAACCAGAAACACTCGACACTTGCTTACTCAAATTTACAAAATATATTTTTTTTCTTCTCAAGTCTTAGTAACAAAAGAAGTATTTACACCAAATAATTTCCATATAAATTAGCACATCATTAATAGTATCTCTTCATGATCGTCTGTGGGTTTTTTGTTATGCTTAATTTTTCTTTTTCTTCCCCGTCTTGAAAATTGTGAGATCAGAGTACTCTAGCAGGTGGCAACAAAGTAATTCCTTTTTGCACTGAAAGAGAAAAGTTTGAAAAAATGAATTTCATAAAATAAGGAGATGTTGAATTTTCGGTTGGGATCCTTTTGCGGATTTGATAAGGCTAGCTTTGTGGTTCAAAATCCGCAACAAGCATGTCAAATTCCAAAAAAAGGGATTTGACAAAAGCAAGATCATTAAGAATTTTAACTCTGATATAGACGTCAATTCTGATCAAACCCTGCTAGATGTTAAATACCCCATGATCAATAAGTCATCTCCTTTTGTTACCAAAAACCTCAGAGCAGCTCAAAGCATCAATTTAAAATCATTCTTTTTGTTCTTTTGTTTCTTTCCAGTTTCTCTTGATAATATAGAAAAGGAAAAGAAAGGAAGTGAATAATGTGAATAAATTAAAAAGTGAAATTTAAAATCGAAACAAAGCATAAAAGAACTTTTTTGTGTGAAAAAAAGAAAAAGAATTAAAAAAAATTGTCTGTGCAAATTGAGATGAAAAATTACAGCAATATGGAGACTGGCTATATAAATGAAGGTGAGATTTAATTCCAAAAAATTTAAAATTCTATTTTTAAAAATTCAGCACTTTAATTCGCACAAAAGAAGGTGGAATTACTCAGGTCTTGTTTTTTTTTACCGGCAAAAAGTTCGTTGCTGTTTTTTCTTTTCATAGAATATCTTGAAGGTGTGAGAAATAGTGAATATGTAAATTTTTTGAACAATTTCTGCTGTCGATAAAAGAAGAAATATTTAAGGTGATAATAACAGACAAATATTGACATAAGTTTAGCGTCATTTTGTTATTTCATATTTCTTACTAGCCAGAAATATCAATTTTGTGAGAAAAAAAAAATCATCATATTTATATTGTTATAAGAACTAGTTCAAGATCATTGAAGTTCTATATTTCAATGATTTCTCTTCCGTAATCAACAAGTTCGATCTGGATGAGTCTATAAATTCACTAAACACTAATGTTTCTTCTTTCTGATAAAATGAGATCACTTACAATCTGACATTATGCAATGACATGTGAAATGATTGTGATACAAATCTGTCTAGAAAAAGAAATTAGTATATTTTCTCAAAATTAAAGTGTATTGGGATACAAAAATATAAAAAGATGATTTCTTCTTTCCTCATTTCAATGAACGTTTGTTGAGCAAAGTGAAAGAAAATGTGGCGCTTATAAAAATAAATAAAATTTGAGTCGTTCATTTATAATTTTGCAACATTGTTGTTTCTCTTTTGACAAAATGTTGTGAATAACAATGAAATTTCTTTTCGAATTGCTTAGTTTAATGACACTCAAGTAGATTTAATGGAAGAGTTCCAATATGAAATTTACTCAACTTTTTTATTAATTGGTTTTAATAGACTTTCCTCTAATGGTTATGATTATATTAAAGTTATTAAATTCTGTAATAATTGTACATTAGTCACTTGATGGTTATGATCCTTTTACTCATACTTACTACTTGTGGGGTATATATTGGAGCTAAATACAGTGCTCTTATGTTTCAATTGAAAGCATGCTTCAATTTTCTTTTATCAACACAACTTAGTAACTTAATTACTTCTAACCACAATTAGTAAACTAATTCCTTGCTCTACATGACTCTAAGCATTTCTAGTATTCAAAACTAAGTAAAATTTAAATTTTCCGTCTGAATCCCATCTGCGCACCAAATCAAGAGAATATCTACTTTGTATTAGATTGTGATACGTCAATCAACGCAGTATGAATTCAACTTACAAGGCTGATTCGGTTTATTTCTTTTTTCGAGATGAGTTCTTATGTAAAGAGGAAGAATTAAGTAATCCACAAAAAGGGCAAATTGATTTTTTAGGCTGAATTTAATCTCTGACTTGATATTGATTCATGACGAAGCGCTGGGTTTGCGTGATATTGAAATTTTCTTATTGAGTTGGAAACATTTTAGTTGTAATTTATGACCTTAAGGCATTCATTTCTTAAGAATATAACTGACAGCTTCTGTTTGGACGAAATTTTTGGTTGAACGAAAATTTTACAAAATGTTTTTAATTGAATATCTCACGAAATACTTTGTAAATAATCAAAAATGTCTGTTTTAATTCATGTCTGTGTGTTTTTTTACAATAAAGTGCCTCTGGATGTGTTTTATGATGGTAAAGGCAATTTACAATTCTGCTAGTTTCAATTATCTTCAGAAGTTGGTGCTTAATTATATGTTAATTAAAAGTTAATTTTCAATTAATTAACAAGAGATGTAAAGTGAATAAGTAAGCAAATTAAGAGTCAAGGAAGGAAAATTTATCAACGATTCGTTGTGATTATTTTATGGATGAAACTCTTAAATTAAGCACCTCAAAATGCAAATATTAATGACTCAAGTTAAGAGAATTACAAAAATCCATTAATTTAATTACGCACTGCAAATTAAAAATTATTTACGTCCATGATTCCAGAGGTAAAAGCCATAAAAGTCTAATAAAATACACACAAATTACATATGACCAACAAATATTTTCTTAATTATTGCAATACAAAAGACCGTCTCTTTCTCTTGCCTATTACTATACCTAAACGAAAGGAGCAAATTATTCTCATTCTAAGGAGTAGAATGCATAGTTCCACAGACATGAATTAAACTAAAACTTTTGTGCTAAAAATATTTTGTTAAAATGAACAAAAAACTTTAATTAGCATTTAAATATTTTAATAATGTTTTATTCATCTCCTTCTTTTTCTCTTTTCTACTTTTCTCTCAATTTTACACGCAATCAATGGAACAATTCTTATTCTAATTGACAATATACTCTTAATTTTTATCACATATTCTAACCACATTCATCGACATGTTACTAATCATAATACTTAACAATAAACACTGTACAATAACTCAACAAACTTTAAAGATGAAATAGAGCCCGTCATGGAGATTCAAAATGAAGGTAAACTGTTAATTACATTCGTATTAGCTTCGCCTTTATTTGCACATTTTCATATTGCATGTTTTGCACTCCTCGGAATTTCTCATATTTCTTATTTTTTAATGTTCACTTTTACTACCTTGATGCTGAATAGCTATTTTTCTTATACATTTTAAATGATTTATTCTTTATGGAAAGAAGTGTTTATGCGGATAAATTAAAATCATTTTGAAGGATGGACATGCATGATGTTATCGGATTTCGCGGTAATGATGTAAACATTCAATCTTCACATTTTATGACTTGATTTATTTAAATTAAAGGGAAGTTATTATTTAATGCACGTTTTTTTTGATAATAAATTATTTGCAATTATGTATTTGCAAAATTAAGAATTACTTAATTACTCTTGATAACCTAACGTTCTACATCGAGAATTCACTGTTGTTAAGAACGTGAAAGCAATTTATAATCATGAATGCGACAACGCAAGATATTGCTTTTTGAAGTTTTTAAAGACGATTTGTGACAACAGACCTGTATTCATAGAATTATTTCATTTATAATTTTCAATGATTATTTTTTATAATTTCTACCGGATACCATTAATATCTTGATTTATATGATATGCAATTACAAAATTACAATAAAAAAGTTGATAAGCATTGGACCTAGTGAAACATGTCGCAATGAGTTTATTTTAATGTCCAAAACGTGTCAGAATGCTCGACGCAAAGAAATTTTTTTTCTATAAATTGAAAATAAACATGAATGTTTCAAAGATTTAAAAATATTGATTATCGGCTACAAAGCTAAATTTAGCCAGGTCATTTCTATTTTAAAAAATACTCTTTTGGACAATTAAGCATCGAACTTATTCAAAAATAAATAATAATTAATTAATCACCAGCTCATCAAAATCCTCTTAAATACTTTTTCATCAGATAATATTTCAAGTTCATTAATCAAAAAGTTATTTGCGTGGATTTTTTCGTCGAACTCTTAATGCCAGTGACCAAAGATACGATTTCAAATTAAATACTGATAAATTTCTACTGAATTAATTTTCGAAAAATCTTCTTTTGCGATTCTGACATTAAAATTCCTGTTTCAATTCGATTTTTTTCAATGAAATTGACATGCGAATGTTTCAATATTTTTAAGCTAAAAATAAAATTTGTGTTCTATTCGAGCACCTACACATGATTAAATCGGGAGTAAGGTAATAAATCATATTGAAAAGCTCCGATTTGGTTTAAAAGATGTCTATTAAAATAATATTAAAGTTATCAATTAGCTTTTCTTGTTCTTTACAGAACATATCTGAATAATGTTTAGTTTAAACACCTTTTATGCCAAATTTGACTGAAAACATCACATTAATCAGCATTTATCCTCAATTGATATTCAATCCACTGCTGTATTTGAATTTTAAAAATTTCACAAAACACAATCTTTTGTGCTAAAATAACAATCACATAAATTTCGAGGAGCAAATCATTCACCGTCACGTTCCATTTTCGGCACTGATCATTATCAATGATTTGTGAAATATTTTTTTCATAATAAAATATGCGCGGTTTTGTGCTTTTCGGAGAAGAGAATTGTCAAATCAACAGCACAAAATCGAAATACTTAAGAACGTAAGGCGATTTGAATATTAAAAGCGAGAAGATCATGTGAGTCTTAAAGGTGGAAAAGATCAAATGCGAAAAGAATTCCTAAAATGAGATCGAATCAGATAATTTACAGCCATAAAAATGAATAAATAGGGAAAAAGGTTTGAGTGGATTTTCTTGTCTCATGCTGATTGTTTATTTTGGTCAGAGAAATAAATTCCTTACCAAATTTGCTAAATTTGTCATGTCAATTTGAAAAATTTCATCGGGAATGGACAAATAATTTATAGCACACTTTTATTAAAGTGATAATTATCTAGGGGTTCATCGCAAGTGATGTGTATTCAAAGTTTAAGATTTTCAACACCCTAATGACTCAAAACATTGGACCTTACACTGCCTTACACCTCCAGATTCTTCATAAGTGTTGAATATCATTTATAAATGACTCCAAATACTCTCTCGTTCTTTAATGCTAATGACATAGAAATTACCATGCTCTTTTGTGCATGGTAATTTTTTATTGAATCAAAAATAGGCACGCCTTGCATGTATGTATTTTTGGCGCTAAATAATTCCACATGCTAAACACAATAAAAATTCTTGATCTTCTTCTTTTTTATAAACTTTTTTGCTTTACTACAGATGATGGTGTTATGACATCGAATAAACACACAACATTTTTATAAACGTCTGTAAAGTTGTGTATCACAGAGAATTGCATGCGTAGGAATAACGAGTTTTTTTTTCCTTTTATTTCCACATAAAGAATTAAAAAACAAAAATCTCTCTTAATGATATTCAGAATGGCTCTTTTATTCATCATCACTGAAAACATACGTCTGGCCGTGCAGGCACAACATGTTATTTTTTGTGTTTTATTAGAGATTCTGGTTAGGTTTGTTTTTCGATGTTGAATCTACTACGCTTTATTCAAGATAGTTAAAGCAGCTGAACAATGTTTTATGCATTTGAAGATGCAACTCGGAGTGCATACCCT